AGCTTGCCTGCCTTAATTTTTGTCTAATAGATGGTCCTCAAGCTTCCTTCTGAGTCCACTTAAATTCTTTTGTCAGTGAGACTAAAAACCCATAAAAGGGAATCCTGAGTCCCTGGAAGCAGAGCGACAAGTTGCTCATCTCTTTATGGTCTCTCCCAAGGTCCTCAGTACTTTTCATATTTGGACAACTTTTAATGTTGGATCATCATAAATATGCATCTAGCCATGGGAATAAATAGAGTTGACATGTTATTTAACTGGGTTGCTAACTCCTTTTTCCCTGATTCTACAGCTGGAATGAGTGCTTGAGGAAAGCAGGAGCCTGTAACTGTCTTGGTCACCACCTTAGCTGTAGCACCTAGAACAGTCACTACCTCTGTTGTAAGGACACGAAGTCAGAAACATAGCATAACATAGTCATGTCTTATCCTACTGTCTGAATTTATTGGACAACAATAAATATATCCCATGTAGCTGTTTCAATGACAGCAATTTGCCTGATAGTCTTGCTTTCGTTGTTAACCCCACCAAGGCAAGCATGATCTTTCTATTCCCTTCTTAAATGCTATTGACCCTCAGATTAACCGTATCAGTAAAAAAGAAATTAAAAAATGTATATACATTGCAGAGTGTCAGGGAGACACTCATAAAGGTCAGTAGGTTTCAGTAGAATAATAGAAATATAAATAGAGTTTCTTTTGATGTTTGACTGTGTGTCTGGCTGGCCACTGGGGTACCAGGGCCACTGACAAGCAGCTAAGAATGCAGTTTGTGTTTGGGGTCCACCCTGTATTTCCCCAGATGAGAAACAGCAAGGTCTGGGATGGATGCTGTGGTTCTCAATCTCCTATGTATCCAGACACCACTGAGGAGTTAAGAAAGGTGACCTGAGAGTCGAAGTTTCCCCTACTTGCTAGGCAGGAAGGGGATGGCTAAACCCTGGACAGGGCAGAATCCAACAAGTTCCAGACAAGTTGCTCATCTCTTTGTGGTCTCTCCCAAGGTCCTCAGTACTTTTCATATTTGGACAACTTTTAATGTTGGCCTTCTCAGGGAGATTTAGGTGCAGCTCTTATACATTATTGAAGGCCTCCCAACCCCATCACTGAAGAGATCCTTGATGAAGAAGACAGTGCTTGCTTGTCTAAACTGCTTTATTTAAGGCAGATGTAAATGCATATCCCTTACTCATGGTGTACCAGGGATTAAATATCTTTTGCAGGAAGGGCTGTCTCAGAAGGAAAGCTCATTGGCTGAACACTTGAGGCCTATCTAGATATCTCATTAGCATGAAGAACTCCAGGTTTTTATGCTACATGACTGGTTGTCATGGTTTTCTCAATGGGGTGTCGTGGCTACATGTTCCAGGACAGGTAGAGCCTGGCTAGGAGCTGGTTCTAAGGAACTGAATGTCATAGGCTTCAGAGCAAACACTGTCGAACTGAGTTCAGCTTTATAGGCAAAGAGGCAGGAGGAGAGGATGCTAGAGAGATGGCTCAGAAATTAAAAGCACATGCTGCTCTTGCAGAGACCTGTGTTGGTTCCCAGCACCCACATGGTGGCTCACAACCACCTGTAACTCCAGTTCTGGGGAATCCAGTACCCTCTTCTGTCTTCCAAGGACACTAGGTAAGCACATGCAGTGCTCGTACATACATGCAGCAAAACACTCATACACAGAAATACAAATAAATACATCTTTGAAAGGGGGGGAAGGCAAATGGACAGACAGATGGAGATCCAAAGTACATGTCCAAATAGGAAGAGGGGCAGACCACGGTAGAGTAATCCATATCAACAGTGGGCAAAGAGCCAAGCTGAAGTCGCAGGGGCAGCTGGGAGTTCTCTGCCTGTAGGCCCTTGATGCACACTCCCAGTGGTCAGATTCAGGCAGCAGAGAAAGGCAGGGGAAATCCTGGGGACTTGTAGAGGTCTCTCTCCTGCACAAATTCCAGCAGTTAACAACTGCATAAGCCCTTTCTCGCTTCCCAGCTGGAAGCCTGCACTTTTCTAGGAATCTCATCAGAAGATTCTAAATTCTTACTTTTAAGTGACTTCCTCCTTCTCTTAAGACAAGATCTTGTTACCTAATTTTGGCCGGCCTGGAACTTACAGAAATCTACCTGCCTCTTCCTCCTAACTGCTGGGATCAATGTCATACACCACCAAATGTGGTTCTTTCTTTTTAAACACAAGGGTTTAAATTTTTCATTTAAATAAAAATTTAAATATTAAATATATTAAATAAATATATATTAAATTATATATATTAAATTTTATTTTTTTTATTTAGGGTGGAGACGGGACTCTTATATGCTACTGTGTGCATGTGGAGGTCAGAGGACAACTTGTAGAGTCATTCTCTCCTTCTACCTGTGGGTCCTAGGGACCGAACTCAGGTTGTCAGGGTTGGTGACAGGTGCCTTAACCCAATGAGCCATCTCACATGCTGGCCTCTATTCCTTTGAATCCTATACTAAAATATCTTCACTCTATCTCCAACTCTGCTTTGTAAACTGGCTAGGCCCAAAATTCTTATCAGTGTTGAATCCACAGACTTCAGTTTGGCCTGAGTTGTGGTCAGGCTGCTGAAGGAGGCAGTATGGAAGTATGCCTCTGTCCCTATGACAAGGTGACAGGTCAGTGGGACCCATTGCCATCACAATGCTAGGTGTTCACTTCTTTATGGGACCCATGTGAGGGTTACCCCCTTCCTCCTTCCTTGGTCTCCTACGTCCCATACGTTCTTGGGGCTGTTTTCCTTGCTGTGATTTTTTTTTATGTCCATATGACTGTACAGTTTCAATTCACCGTGATGAATTTATAGGATGTCACCATTTCTGCTCTTAGGGATAAGTCATTTATCAGTCTGTGCTGCATGGTTCATGGGTGGCACTGGACAGAATTACTATTTACATGTCCATCCAGATGCACAGTCGCCCTCCAGCTTCAAAACGCACTCAAGAGCTACGTGCAGATGGAGCCTCTCGGGGCACAGCCCGAGCCCCACGGCCTGTCACTTGATGGATGTTCTGCAAATAGAAATGTTTTAAAGATGTGCATTTTCTGAAACTGCCAGTAGAGGTGTGGGGCTGGACAGGTCAAGTCAGGCCCTGGGGAGAAGCACAGCACAGCAAGACACCAGGACCAAGGATGCCTGTGCTCGGGTGCCAGAAGCTTCCCTATGGTTCTACCCTGGTAGACTACACCTGGGGTAGATACAAAGTAGGAGCCATAAACCAGATGACCTAGGCGGAGGGGAAGGGTGGCATGAAGTCACTCAACAGGATAGATGTGTTGAAAGAATGGGAGGAGAAGCAAGCAGCCAGAACTAGAAGTAATAACAGGCACCGTTACTGGATTATAGTCCAGGCTGCTCATCATTTAAAAGCCAAGACTTGAGAGACAGGAGACAAGATGGAACCAGGTACTGAAGGACAGGCCCTGAAGAAGATGCAGAAGCTGTTATCCTCCAAGCTCCACGGTGACAAGTTCGCAATCCACTCTCTCCCCATAGTCCATGTTCCAGGGTTTAATCAAACCAAGTGGGGGTTGGGGGGACGCTTATCTTTAGCCTGTAGTTCAACTCTTGGCGCTCAGCCTGAGCACTGTGGCGTTTGCAGAAGTGAATGAGAGGCCTTTGGACTAAGCAGATAAAGGTGAATATTCAATAAACTCACGAACGAGAGTTTTCTTTAACTGCCTTGGAAAAGACATCCCTGAAGCAAAACCTAGACCTGAGCTTCAATATTGGATAAGCTCCAGTGATCACAAGAAAAGCTAACATATGTAATTGACTATTGGCAAACACAACCGAACCAAATAAAGCAGTAATTAACAATTATTGTACTTGAAGGTAACAGAACAAGAAATCCAGGCTGCCTCGGAGTTTGTCCCAGGCATCGATAAGAACAGCGTGTTTGTTAGTGGGTGAATAACCCAAGTGTGAAATTCATTTTATTAGACTAGATCTAAGAATAGACTTGAACCCACAGATGGAAAAAAGAGATTTCTCTCCAGTTCCTCCCTGCGGCACCCAGGGGATAAACTCAATGAACTATTTTGCATTTATAAAGAGGGACTGGATATAGGTGGTTTGCAAAAATGACCTGAGGTGTGTCTCTCCCTTTATCTGTACTGCTTTCCTGAGGGCTTTGTGGAAGGCTCTCCCTACCAAGAGTGGAGCCCATTTCCACATCCTTGGCTCTATGATTAGCTTGGCCAGTAGAATGCGCAGAGATGAAGAGATGACATTATGCTAGTTCTGAGCCCTAACTTAAGCTGGCCTTGCATCTTGCTACTCCCTTCCTTGGGAACCTTGTCTCCATCCCAAGAATAAACCCAGGCTGAGCAGCTGGTGGGTAAAAGTCAGCCAAACTGTCACAGTCCAGTCCCTAAACACATATGTGAGCTCAGCCAAATTCAGGAAAGCCAATCTACAGCTGATAAACAGCTTATTACAGGAAGCACAAGCGATCTCAGATGAGTCCACAGACTTGACCTCAGAAATGAAACTCCAATAGCCAACCTACAGCAACTCAGAGAAAATAATGGCTGTTTATTTAAGCCACTGAGTTTTAGAGTAATTTGTTACACAGTAATAGATAATTAACCTGGAGGATTCTGGCTTAAACATATAGAAATGCACTAGGAGTTGGATGAACCAATCCTAATTGCTGAGGTTTGGGGTGGTGACATGTACCTGTAATGCCAGCACTCAAAGGTGGAAGCAAGAGGATGCATGCACCACATCTGCACACACACACACATTAGCCAGCCACCATAAAAGACCTGGGACTGGGACTAGGAAATCCATCCTCTGCCTGCCACACCCTACATAACTTGGTCCTGGAAACCGGGGTGGGGTGGGGTGACGAGGAGACAGAGCAGGAGAAAGAAGAGACACAGAGAACATATATGAAAAGGCTGGGATTGGTGAGCTGTGCGGGCTCTGAGGAATGCCCAGCCGCAATAGCAACCTGGAAATTCAGCACATTTACTTTATATCTGAATCAAGGAGGAGAGTTTATGGCGCTTGACTGAGCAAGGCGGCAGATTTAGCTGATCTCAGAAGTGGATCTTGGTAGGGGCACAGTCTCAGGCTTCGGTCACCAGGGAGGAGGAAGTTGTAATTGGCAGTTTCTACACACACTGTCAACATTCCAGGTCCGGACAGAGGAGGTTTTCCATCCCTCTGAGCCTCTCAGGGAAGGCTTTGCCATTCCTATGGTCTGAGGCACCTTGACATTACTGTGCTCATGACCACAGCACACATCAGCTCAGGACTTCACCCACTGTCCACACTGCCCTGGGGTAGCCCAACGCCAGCGAGGACCTCTGTGGGAGAGTTCAATTTGGATTTCCTGCTCCCCTCCAGGATCTGAGCTATATCGTCTTACTTCATCTGAGGACATCCGGAGATGCTTCACTCTGCTGTGGTCAGGTCACCCAGAACCAAGCAAACCAGGGATTCGCCAAGGAGCCAGGCAACACCGCTGGCCCAGACATAGAGAAGTAGGTGGGTGATGCACGTCTCTGCATGGTCCAAGGGGCTGGAGAAGTGTCACCACTTTGAGGTTGGGACTTGAAGCACAACTCAAAGTCTGCTGGAAGACAAAATGCCCATTAGGCGGAACAGTGTAACTGTGGCCACAGAAATAGGAGGACTTGAAAAATAGTAGAGGGTATTTAACCTGAATGGAGTTTTCTCCTTTGAGGAGTATAGCATTGTGCTTCCAAAAGAAGACTCTCTGGCTGGGGCCCAGCTGTGTGCCCAAAATAAACCCATAAGAGCATCTGCACCCGCTGGGCAGCTGACCATCACTGCCCTCATTTCAAAAGTCTACAACAAGCTGGGGCTGGGGATGCAAACCTGTAATGCCACCTACTCAGGAGAGTGAAGCAGAAGGAAACGAATGTTCAAGGGCCACCTGGGTTATAGGACAAGTTCAAAGGTCAATCTGGGCAGCAATAGTGAGACCCTGTCTCAAACTATAAGTGGTTAATTTTAAGGCGCGAGCTGGGGAATAGAGCCTAGTGGTAGTGTGCTTGCCTATGTAATATGAAGCCCTGGATTTGATTCCAGGTACACACACATACACACACACAGATATACATACATACATGCATGTACATACACACAAAAACATACATACACACAGAGATACACATACATACATGCATATACATATACACATATACACACACATATACACACACAGAGATACACATATATACAAGCATATACATATACACACACATACACACACACAGATATACATACATACATGCATATACATATACACACATACATACATACACACACCACACACACGCACACACACATGCACATACACACATCTCTACAGAATCCCCTCATATGCCTATGCTCTACTGCAAGCTTCTGCAGGCCAGAAGCTCCCTAGACTCTTCACACTTTATTCTCTGCTAATCAGTGTTACTTACAAGCCAGACGACACAGCTCTGCTTCTAGGCAGTTCTAAGGTCATTCACACAGACCAATGTATTCAGAACAGGAAATGAAACGAGGTGGTAAGTAACAGAGTCACAGCTTCCTCAGGGTTTTACAAGCTTGAGGGTGATGAAAGGCCTAGAAGACTAAAGACAAGGAATATCTGAGGTGACTTGGAATCAAGTCCAAGGATAGCAGATACATAATATACATACTCTCCCTCCTCCCAAGTGGTACTCAGGGCAGACACTGCTAATCAATTACCACACACATCTTTCAGCTAAGTCTGTGCCTATCAGCCTGAGATGGAAGCCAGTTGGCCACCCACTGAACGGATTAGAAAGTAGACGCACAGGAGGATAAGAGACCTCTTTTACAGAACTGTCTCCTCTACCACACAGCACACTGTGTCTACATGATTTGTAAATGACTTGTTTGCATCACCTGTCACTAAGGGTTGACTCTAGGGTGTAGGATAGGGTTTTACATGCAATGAATATTTTTTTTCCATTTCCAGTTCAGGTGTTATTTAACCATGTTCTGAAAAATGTTTTTTATTATGATAATAAAAAACTGCAAACAGGGTTAATAAATTATGCCCACACACCTAACAAAACCTTGAGGAATTCCAACATCCATCCATGGGCCAGACAGTGCATGTTCAACATCGTGTTTATGAGGACCCAAGGATGCCCCAGAAGGCTAAAATGCATGAATCTGATATGCTGCTTACATAAGGGCTTCAAGAGCTTGTTTCACAAGTAGGCTCAGTTCCACTGTTCCGTCTCAGGGCTGGAAGAAACCCAGAGGTCCCACACATGTCACTCCCAACCTACCCTCTGTACAGCCCTTCTGGGGCCATCCACCAAAACGCTCCAACTACACACACAGTGCCAGAGAGTCACCAGCTCCCAGGGCTGCAGGTGCAGCCTCAGTTCATTCTATCTGCCGCAGCTTCTTCGTCTGTTCCCTTAGTCTTGTGGGAAACTATTTTTCTGGAGAGAATGCTGATGGGCAGGGAGGGGTCCGGCAAAAGACAAAGAAAGGCAAAAGAGCAGGCACTAAAACCGTCCTTCTCAATTTACAGTAGGGCTACAGCAGTGCCCGTCCGCTCGTAATTCTTACTGTATCAGGGGGTTGTACCTGCCCATTCTGCTCTGGTGGGAGCCAAGGTCCTTGTAAATCCAGATCCTTCAGAAGGCCCCAGATGCATTTTTCTACAGGATCTTGTGCAAAAGAGCTGGTTACTATGGTAACCATTGGATGTAAATTTCCCAGAACCCCCAACTAAACTATTAATCAGAAAGATGAGGAGAGTGCCAGGGTGGCAAATAAATCAGGTAAGAAACTGGCTCCTACCAAGAAGGAATGGTAACAGGGTGCCTCCTGCCTTGCCGGGGAGAGGCGCCCTCTCCTCCCTCCCGTGCATCTTCTGATGCAGGAGGACAGCTGCAGCGCCTGGGACCTCACCTTCCTCACTTTCCTTTTCCTGCAGTGTCAGAAGGACTAGAAAGCCAAGTTCAGCACCTCATCAGCAGAGAATGAGAAGAGGCCTCTGGTTAGAGGAAGCATCAGAAGTAGAAATGTTGGCACTTGAACAAAATGTTCTGGCTGATCAGAAAGAGACTTTCCAGTGTTGATGAGAGAGAGGGCCAGATTAGACCCCACATGATGCATGACAGAAGGCTTGGGGAAGGGAAAGACAAACCTGCCCCACCCCCGGCTTCTCTCTCTCTGCTGAGTTGAGGATAGAACCCAGGGCCCATCTCACATTAGACAAACTTTGTGCTACTGAGCCATCTCACCAGCACTGGGGGGTGGAGAGGGGTCTGGGGAGGGGCAAGAAGTTTGTGGGTTACCTTGTTTGGGTTTTCACTAAGGGTTTCATCCCACTAGTTCTGGTGTTTCTGTTGGAACACAGTTATTTAATAGAGGGTTTGGATGGCACTCCAGAAGGGCTCTGGTGAGTGTGTCCTGGAACAAGGGCTGCCCAGAGCAGGAGCAAGGACAGTTTATTAAGAGAGGGAACTCGGGTGGGGAGCAGTTCTGTGCGACCTCAGCTGCTCCATTTGCACTCACAGGCTTTCCCATGCATGTTTATCTGTGACATGTGTTCTACATACACTCCTGTTCACAAGGCAGTTCACAACTCTCCGTACCTCCAATTCCAGGGGATCCAACGCCCTCCTCAGGCCTCTGAGAGCACTGCATGTGTGCAGGCAAAACACTTGTACACATTAAAATAAATAAATAAACAAACTCACACACTGTGTCTCATCAGCATGTTAAAACTCCACCCTGGGGTCTAGCCATTAGTGCTTCAGTCAGCCACAAGTCACCCTCAGACACTGTAGTTCCTCTGCTCCGGCCTGTGCCCATAGCCAGTTTTAGTCAGCCTGGGAAGGAGTCATATGATGGTTTTGCACAGCTTGTAAGGTTTTGTGCAAAGCCTTTGACACCCCACTCTCTGCGGTGTTCTGCTTCAGTCCTAATAAGGTGCTGTGGAAATCTTGCTAAGCCTCCTCTTTGAGTGTTACAGACATTGGCCGGTCCCACGGAGGGAAGAGGGATCTCACTAAGGATGTCATCCTTGGTCAGGTCCAGTGGGACGCAGAAGGAGAGCAGCCTAGTTCATCCCAAATCCATTCTAAGAGCAGAGAGAGGTGCCCCAGAGAGGCCGATAGAGAAGCTCCTCCAAAGTCCTGTGGTTCTCAAATGTAAGTTTCTCCAGGAAAGAAAGAGGAAGACAGGGTGGTGAGGATAGAAGAGGTGGGGTGTCTCTATCTCCACACTGGAGGCAGGAGACGGAAGAAGGAGGGGTTGACTTAAAGCCATACAGAAAGGCATGGCTGCGCCTGATTTTGGAGGCTTAGGAGGGAGTTTGGAGTTAGGTGTTCCTAGAGCGTGAGAAACAACAACAAAAAAACACAAAGAGAAAAAGCTGGCAGTCATCTAACTCATTGCACGCACGCACGCACGCACGCACGCTCGCAAGCAAAGCGTCCCCTCTTCACTCCGGAAGAGCTGTTCTGCACCCTCGGAGCCGGGAGAGTACTGGAGACCCTGGGAAGGGAATGGCTCTCCACAGTGAGCACTTGGGAGAGTAGGGTTTGGCTTGCCCCAGGGTCTTCTGCCTTCTACCTAAGTAGTTCTCACTGTCGTGGGCGGAGCATCCTGTCTGGTCTTCCTTGGATCTTTCCTGCAAGCTCTGCAGAGAAAATGGCAGACAGAGACCCTGCCGGGATTGGTAATTTCTCACTGTGGGTGACATAAAGGTTTCCTTGTTCTCTGGAGGAAGGAAATGAAGAGCTGATTAAGTACTTGAAACATCCCTGCCTGCGGATCATTTAATAAGCGCTGTGTCCATCTCTCAGGCTTGAGACCGGATACTGGGCTGGCTAATCCAATTTGGCAGGCCTCTCTGTGGCAGGCTAGAGTTGCTGGGCACCATGTCGTTTGATGTGTGCAGAATCAGTGCAAGCTCCTGCACTGACTCTAGCTAGTGATGTGACTCTTCGAGACCTGGCCTTATACCTAACAATAAAATGGTAACACCTTTAATCCAAGAAGCTAAGAGTGATCCAGCCATTCCCCAATTCAGTCAGCAGCCTGAGAATAAATCCACAAAACCAGATGTGGAGTATGAAATTTTCACTCCCTGAAGGAAGTCTCATAGGGCCCTGGAGACTACTGTAGCGTCTTGCATGAAGACAAACAACTGTGATGTCATTTTGCTATGCACAGTCCCCGAGTCTGGCACAGGTGCAGAATTCCTTATCGATGTACCTGCGTCCCTCAGCCAGTGAGAGTCCTTTGGGTTTTTCTTTGCCTTGGCCACCAGGCAGCTTGGATGTAAACACAGAGCTGTGGCGTAGATGCAAATATTTCCTCTGCAGGCTAGATGCAGTTTCTCACTTCTTTTTAAATAAGCATTTGAAATTAACATATCTATTATAGCACGAATTCCTTTTTTTTTTTGGCTTTATTAGACAGGGTTTCTTTGTGTAGCCCTGGCTGTCCTGGAACTCACTCTGTAGACCAGGCTGGCCTCGAACTCAGAAATCCACCTGCCTCTGCCTCCCAAGTGCTGGGAGGCACCTGATATATATTCCTTTTTTAACCTATCACTTTGTGCTGATAGCTTTTCCTCCAGGGACCATGACTGGGTTTTCATGGTACATTAACATGAGTTGGTGCAATCAGAACCAACATCAGAACTTTTGCAGGAATCCTGGGCTGAGATTCTTGTCAATGGGTTTGAATGTAAGAGGATCTAGGTTCAGGGACAATGATTAAAAGCTATCTGATACAGTCAACCTAAAAGTGGATGAACAAATAGACAGACAGAATGAAGACTAAGAACATTTCTAAAGCTGAATCGACCCTGGGACTGTCCAATGACATGAACCAACACCAGGCCTTCAGGCCACACCTACAGGGGCTCCCAGTTGATTGAGCCCTACTTGGCAAATACTGGGGGCCAGGAAGGAGACCACCATACCTGTGCCTTCCAGACTCCCCAGTCCCACCTCAGTAGACCACAGTGGTGTCTCTCCTGCACCACATCCCCTACCCCAGGTGAGATTTTGGTACACACTTTACCAGCCCTTGTTGATGGCCTCTAGCCTCTTGCCCCCTGAAGGCTGCTGCAAGGCTCTCGGCTCTCCCCTTTCTGCATCTCAGCTATCTGAGATCCCCCTCCCTTGGTTAGGCCACCTTGACCAGGGGTGGCTTGGAGACACAGGAGCTCTCTCTTCTTGCTTGCCATCTGCTGCCATCCAATCGACCATCAGGTCTGGAGAGACACCCGTGAGGACAGAACCCACTCTACTGCCGGATTCAGTGGCTTCTGATTCCGTTCAGGACAAGCATGGGGCCCTGCACTGAAGCTTCGCCTGCAGTTTCTTCCCCGTGCTCCCACTGACAGTCCTCCTAAGAGGCTGTCCTCCCCTCCAGCCTCACTGTGTGGAGACTTCGTGTCAAGTTCATCTTTATCCACAACTGTCCCACACTTCATTACCTTTGCTCACAGCCTTCCGTCTCCTACAGTTGTCTGTTTATTTGGACCCCTTCTCATTGGCCCAAGCCCACCTCCAATATCCCTCCTCTAAGAAAATGTTCTAATTAACCCCATCTCCCACCAGCAGAGTAGGATCATGGAATCCCTGAAACACCAGAATTTGCTTGAAAACGTATTTTTCTAAAATCTCAGGCCCACTGCTGACAATCTTAGTACTCAGATCAAGTAGAAAAAGAGCCCCGCAATCCACAGTTCCTGATCTCTTCTCTCTCCATCACAAGGGGCCTTGTGCAAACACACAGGGCTTCTGACCCCTCCACCCTCCTGCCGCTCTTGCTCATCCCACTCTGACTAGGCTGCAGGGGAAGAGGCCCCCATATGTCCTAGAAGTAAATTTGCCCCTTAGGCAGGAGACTCGGGGTAGGAAGAACAGGAGAGGTTTCCAGAAGGCTCAGGGCTCAGTTCTCTGCGGAGGCCATGCTACACCGATGTGCTGCCAAGGAACTCCTCCGTCTCAGCACCCATACATCAGGAGATCTACGGGTCACATCAGAGTGGGCCAGGGCTAAAGCATGAGACCCGGGCCAAGAGTAGACGAAAGAGTCTCCTTTGATATTGATGTGTGAGAGAAGCTCAGAGCTAGATTCTCTCAGAGCTAGGTGCTCTCAGAGCTAGGTGCTCTTAGAGATAGGTGCTCTCAGAGATAGGTGCTCTCAGAGATAGGTGCTCTCAAAGATAGGTGCTCCAAGGTGAGGGGGCACAGGTCAGGAAGCGGTCACTGCAGCAAAGGAGGCCCCATCTCAAAGCCGTGCTGTGCTACGTCTGTCTCAAGGCCAGCTGTGTCCATCATTGATTGTCAACATAACACCATACAGACACATATCCTAGTGATGAGGATACAGGAATCCATTGTTCTGTCCATCACAGTCCTTAACTGCTCAGGGACTTAGAAAATCTGGGGGAAAACAGGAAAAAATAAACCCACAAAATTTTAACATGTGATCACCA